GAGCTTTCCATCAATCAAAAAAAAAATTGAATTCAATTGAGAGAAGAAAATAAATTTTTATTGTTCTTCAGTTTCTCGTTTCGCTACTCAGAACTCACCACTCTCCCGGGAATTTTTTTTATTGCGGAATTGCTAAATTTTTCAAATAATTTTTCAAGTGTCTAAAAATTAAAGTGACTCCCGGAAAAAGTGATGAGTTCTGAGTAGCGAACCGACCGCAGATCGTAACGAAGGGGAATTAATCTCAATGGAGTTTCATTTTTTGTCATTCTTTGAATTGATTTGAAATTGTCTGAGAGAAGTACGAAAACGATTTACGACCGGGGGTAATCCAAAATATTGCTCCCCAATTACATCCAGCAACTATACAAAATTCTATTTCTCAAACACACAACCTTTTCCATGCGAATAATTCAATTTCACTAAAAAAAGAACCCTCGCAGATGAATAACTCCATCGAATACGGGCCAACATCCGTGAATACAAGAAATGCCTTTGACAAAAATCCAATACCCCTTTTCCTACCAATGAATCGCCGACTAAATGAAAATATCTTCAATTCTAAGGGAACCAAAAACAGCCAACAAAGGTCTTCATAAAAAAACGAAAAGCCACTTTGAAAAATCACCTTGCATCTTTAATCTTCATTTTTAATTGTAAGAAAAAGAATCTGTAAATTTTTTTACTCTCAATATCCTCCGGCAATTCCCTTAAACTCATCAAGTGTTTTCCAATATTTCATCAAGATGATATTGGATTAGACAGAGTACGAAAAAAAAAACCGCAAGAAATGAAAATAAGAGAAGAGAAATTGACAAGTAATCCATTCCTTTAATAACTCATCGTCTCGGCATTAAGCTGAAGTCATGGTTAGGAGTAGATACCCCCTACCTCGGAGGGATGCCGATATTCCAAATAATAATACCAATAACAGGATCGTCAGACTAGCGGTACGTCTATATATTGGAGTTTATGAGGAAGCTGTATATAGTTGGATCGTAAATCGCGAACTTGAGGTGGAGGAGATAAAAGCAGACGATCGATACTCAATATATCCGGAGGGTGGAGAAGTGGATGCTAGCAGGCTGCTGGAGGAATAGATAGCCTTCTTGTCACTTCACCACCCCTGTTACCTTTGATCCCCACCTACCCCTTTCTATTCAAGTACTTGACTCCATCGTGTATATCCAGCATTATGTTGTATGCTTGTGTCTGATGTTTATCTCATCGACATTAAATTCGCGAGCCCATGTCATTCCACGACAATCCATTTGAATATTTAATCCCAACTCTGTCAGTGATACGATTACTTAAAAATTCAGAATGGCGGCAGGAAGTAGAAATTTCATTTCTCAAAGTATCACGTCAAATTCAATTCTTTAATATTCTAGGATTAATTTCTCCTGAGCTTTGATAATCCGCGAAAATCCTCTAACAATTTATCCTAAATTCCGCATGCCAAAATGTTTTCGAAATGACATTAGTTATAACGCTCAAAGAAAAAAGTGAAAATTAAATTAAAAACTTGATTAAAATGCCCAACGGCAAGGAAATAAAATAGTTAATACTCATTACTATGCCAAAAGTATATGAAAACGTGTAAAATTGTACCTCACCCTTAGCAATAATCGCGATTAATGGAATGCAGTGTAAGGGTCGTAATAGGACGAGCGAAGGGAGGAATTAACGGTGCGTTTTAGAGTGAGGGGCATGAAGTAGTAGAAGTAGGAGTAAAATGAGAGAGAGAGAAAGAGAGAAATTTGAAAGAAGACGCCGGAAGGCGGAAGCCGACGAACGGCCGGTACATCCCTTCGCTGGTGTAATTGCACCGGGGCGATATTACCCAACAGGAGAGATAGAGAGATCCACTGGGGCGTTTTTTTTCCCTCAAAAAGTAATCGGGAGAATCAATACGTCTAGGAAACTCATTACGAGTAATCCCGGGGTATTTAAGGTTTACGACCAACAAAAAATATCTCAGCATCGCCAACTATTTTCAAAGTATCTTTAAGTTAAATTCCAATAGTAATTTTCCAACAGTCTCCCTAACAAACTACCCTATGTCCCTCCCAAAATTTATAAATTCCAGGATGCGAATAATTCAATTTCTCGGAAAAAAAAAAAATCTCACAGATGAATAACCCCATCAAATAGGGATCAATGTCCGGGAAATACAAGAAATGCTTTTGACTAAGATCCAATACACCACCCCCCTTTTCTTTTCAATCCACCCCCCGACTGAATGAAAATATCTTCAACTCCGAGAGAAGAGAAAGAGTTCAAACAAAATGCTTGAGCAAAAAAAAAAAAGAAAAATTCATTCCAGCATTATTGGAGAATTCTGGACTTGTGAAAAATTTCCCATCACCAATACACAGGCTTGAGCATTACCAAGGGCAATGGCATTGCCATTTGAAAATGTCTGGGGGAGTCAAGAAATCGATCTGAGAAGACGTACGAGCAATCACTCGGATCGGAGGACAAACGAATTGAGGATATTGCTCCGTGTACCCTGTGTACTCGAGGACAAAGCGAGTCCAAGGGGTATCTCCGGGTATATATGTGTATGAGTCTCTCGAGTCGATCATGTACAATAGGAGAATGCAGGGGAGGTTAAATGAACACAGGGCTATATAGGTGGCATTGTCCACAGTCAAACCTTGGGACCAACTACAGGGACAAGCATCAACCACTGGGCATCCAACCTCTGTGGAGCCTCTGAATTTGAGAATCCTTTGGTGTGGTCAGATTTCACTGAATTTTCCATACACCGAATGAAGAACTTCTCAACCTTTTCCCATTCTATTTCCCGTTGGACCTTTGCAATTAAGAGAGAGAGATATTTCCGCCGAGTTCATTTTCCAAATTACTTCGGGAAAGATGGAAAAGAGGGGAAATGGTTAATTGGAACAAGTGGAAAATTTATTTTGAGAGAAAGTATTTCGTGAGAAGGATTGAGGAAAGAGATGATTATATTTGAATATTCGTGTGGAAATTATGGAATTGACTCGATTTTCATGTGATTTTCCTGAGGTCTGTGATTAGCTCGAATTGGGATGTAATGGGAGTGGGGTTGAATATTTGGGTGCCGGTGACAGGAGGAGAGTGCAGAAGAGGTGATGGGGTGAGAGTGAGTCAAGTGTACAAAGTGACTTCTGTGGATTTAGGATACGCAAGCGTTAATTCCTGTCGTAAATCTGTGGATCGGTTTGTACCAACCGGTCTGGGACATGGCTATTGAGAGATGCCATGCCTTTTCGATGCTACACCGATATACAAGGGGGTAAAAGGGGGATTGAAAGCGTTTCCTATGGCGTGACCAAAGGCCATAAATCAGTATCCGCGGTATTGGACGATACGTAATCCTCACCACGTCCTAACACCGATCGAGCTTTACATATAGGTGAACATATATGCTGACTCAAGGGGGCTCTGTGTCTCTCGGTAATGTGGTCATCATAAAACATGTGACATGTATATTCAGACGTGAATGAATAATGCCGACAATGGAATTAAAATAGTATGGAAATAGACGGAAAAGGGCACGGCTCAAAGATAATCCTACGAGGATGTGTCATTCATTCACTAAAAAATTATTATCCCGTGTCACATGACTTATCCACCCGGGAAAAAATAATAAGTGATAATAATTCCGCGTGTCACCGACGGCACAAAAGTATTCCTCAAATTTTATCCTATATGTCGGGCTCGCAGGAGAATTTATTCAAAGAGATTTTCGAAGAATTTCGCGATTGAGAATTCGAGATTTAAAAAAAATGGAAACTGGTAATTTCGAATTTATTCGAGGCAAATGTATCGTTGGATTTCAAATTGTCGAATTTTCCGAGTTTTGAAGAATTTTGTTAATAGTAGATGTTACGAAATTATGTATGAACCGACGAATGGAAAAATTGAAAATGAGAAATCGGTGTGTTGCACACCTTGACAGAAGGATCGCAAGTGTTCGAGTTCCATCCATCAATTATATGATGTTGAATAATTACACGGAGTCCCCAGAACTTTATCATCGATCATGCGGCCGCCCAGACAGTTTGGCAGTCATTAAGGAGCAAGCCGGTGATTAGCCTGTAATTTCTACGGGCAACCCCTTCTATGATTTATAGACGGCCAAATTGTCTCTATTAAGTGGTCGCCACCATAAAGTCGGAAAAAATGGGGGCCATGAAAATTCATGGGATTGAACGAATAAATCGACTCATCACTAGAATCCTCCCGAGGGTTTTTAGAAAATTTTCCGAGTATTCGTATTTCGAGGAAATAAATCACTCAATGATTGCGGTTTTGTCAGTCGCGAAATAGATTATCGATATATTATTGATCGACTCACCTAGGTCTCCATCCTCCCGGAATAACTGACGTACCACTCCTCAATGACTATTTTTGCCCGTCAGCTACACGAACACTGAAACAAGAGGGAAAATTCATTTAGCCAAAAATTTCAACTTCCGAAACTCGAAATGAATGAGAATGTGTGGTAAACCGTAACTAGCGCAAAGTTTCCCAACCCTGGGGCACTATATTTGATTCTCCCCTGACTTTACGTAACTATCATTCAGTTCACAGAAGATTACACAATCATTCTTGATTCTAATCCTTACATGATTCCACCGTAGTCTGAGACATCGAAGTAAATTGTGCAAGAAAAAAAAAATCGTGTGGAGATAATAAGACGTGGGTTACTCGAGTAATGAAGGAAAATTCATTCTCAGGAGTGATTGATCATTACATGAAGTTGTTATCTAAATACGGTCATTATCGTTCACAAATCGTGCACGTGATTGAATAAACTTCGAATTCAGTAATGAAACGATAAACCAGTGTAAGTGCACCTATCTCTTTTCGAAATATCAAAAAATGTAAAAACTTATTTTTCAACCTGGAGAAATTCCTATGTACGTGATGTGCAGTACAATGTATATTCGAATATCAATAATTACTGAGATAAAAAGAATATTCTGAGGGAGGAAAAATTACGGGATAAATAACGAGAGAAAATTACGAGATAAAGGGAATGAGAGTATTACGAGTTGCTGATAAGTCCGAGAATTCTGTTATCAGTTCTTTTCCTGGTTATGGATCACGTCCTAATTCACATCCGGAAAAACAGTAAAATCGGAGTATTTTAATTTGGCGTTAGGACGAGAGTTTCAAAGTGATCATTATACCCTCCCCTTTTTGCTCTTTGCACATTGTAAACTCTGGGTAACATCAAGATATTTAAATACATGGTCAAGCTTTGGGTGGCTTGGTTATTCCACAGGATGCAGCATCAACAGTGTTTCAACATCAGCACCAAGTTTGTTTTGCTACCTCACCCAACGGTCCGAGGACAATTTTCACGTACGGCAAAAGTTTCATTTGCATTTCGTGGTGAATGAAAATTGCTGGACGTTAATTAGGTTATTTGACGGGTAATCATTTGTTTATTCGAATGAATTGACGTGATTTGCATTCATCGACAAAATTCTAATGTGCATCGTATCAAATTTTCCGGTTTCACCCCTGAGAATTAAGGGGAAAATCCGTAACAGTGGTTTATCGAGTGTCTCTGATAAAATCAGCATTAGTAATCACAATGACAATAAAATGAGTTACGTCAAATAATTAATTAACACCTGTCAACGTTCACGCGTCGTCCGTACTTCGGACAAAGTAATTCAAAGTCGAAAAATTAATTTGCAAACTCCTGAAAGGCCCTGTGAAAGGCAGCCAAAACTTAGTTTTAATTTTGCAAAAAAAAAAAAAATACCGGATAGAAGTTCCGTAGAGCTATAATAAATTGAGAAACCGGTAAAAGATCACGTCCACCCGGAGAATAGCTGGCGGGTACTTGAGAGACTGGGTAAAATTTAATCCCCAGTTTTCCTTTATACTTAGGGTCCCTCTCAGACCCGTTGATTATTCACTTTCTTTTTTTTTTTAAACGAATATGAAATGTTGTATGCACAAGTATAAATGCAGAAGGCCATTGTGTGTAATAGCAAAGAGGGTATATAACTCACCGCGAAGAGAAACTCGTTACGTTTTATGAGACGTAATAGTACCTAAATGAAAAGCAACATTCTTACCCCCCGTGGTCTGTATACCATGTCGTAAAGTTCTCAACTGGCAAGAAGCTGAAAATACTGGGTAGCATTCGCAATGGGACTATTTCTCGTCATTTCGGACTATCTCTCACAGTCAACCCCGTATTTTCACACATTTTCCACTTCACTATTCCTCATTTGGCGCTATTCTTTATGTCACCGGAGAAAACTTCCCAATAAAATACTCTACTTCAGAATTTTTTTATTGTCTCGCTACACGCTTTCTATTCTACCAGCTTCAATTTCAGGATTTTTATGCCCAACAAGGATGCCATGAAAATTTTTTCAAAGAGAAATTTTGATAATTAATCCCGAAATATTATCCTTCCATTATCCCTCCATCGACGAAAGAACAACAGGTGAATTCTTTCCCAGTCATACCGCAATAAGTGAGGCTTGTGTTTTCACTGATAGTGGACATGATTTGATACATCATCAATTAGCAGGCACTCTGGTATGAAATTAATTACTGACACTCGGTTAGCTACGGGATTGGAATTTCCACGGGCGTGTAATTAAAGGACACCCCCACCGTTTGTGTCCGGCAAACGTTGTTGCAGTACAACCGAGGCATTTTCATGCACAAAGGACTCGTAAAGAGTTGAATTAATCAAGATATCGATATTCGATCAATTAAAATAACACAGAAAAATAATTATCCGAGAATCACAAAAAATGGCCATCATCAATGATAAATGATAAAATTATAGTAAGACCTTGACAATAATGATGTACGACTTTTCGATGGAGTGGCGAACAATGGGTGCGCGATGGATAATGGAAACACGTACCAATCGGTACGCGACACGCGGTAGGAAATGGGCAATTGGTCACGGTCATTAGCAGTCTGTTAGAGTGGCATGAATGGTACAAAGAGACCACAGGGCGTACGATACAAACTATACTTGTCAATTGTTAAGAGTTTATGGGTAATACGCGACCTGATATTCCCACCGAGTCCCCATCACTATAGATTCACAGACAAGTCTCGTTCCATAATCCCCAACAATTACTCCATACAACAGTCATCATCGAAGATTAATGACAATTACGATGATAATTGGATTAATGGAGTTTACACCAGAATACTCATATTTTCCTCACAAATTCAATTTTCAAAAATAACTCGATACGAATTAAAATTGAATTATCATGTTTCGGTTCATTTAATATTCCAGATCTGATTTTTCGACTGCTAACGAGTTGCTTGATGTTTTTTTATAAAAACATCAATTCTTACTATTATCGTCTTTTCATTTCAAGCAGAGTAGGTCTTAAAAAGGGTAATGGAACTGAGTATAATAGTCCATAACTTTAAAGTGCTCCTTGCCTGGGAATCTCAGTCGATGGGAATAGGCATATCAAGACGGTTTATGATGCAATGTGGTGGTAAGTATTCTTTTCAATTCGAACTAGAAAGGAATTCATATTGATTCAAGCCTCTCGCAATTGGATAGCAGGAAGAAATCGCAAAGCCAAAGTCCCCATGATATCATTGAAGACCGAAGCAATTTTCCGTGAAAAACACGGCAAGACAATTCTTTCCAATTTCTTTCGATCAATTAGATCTCAAGTTGCTGGAGACCTCGGTTTCTACTTTGAATTTTCTTCGCATCGTAGCACTCGAGGTAATTACGGAGGAGAGGGTTTATTGCAGTGAACGGAAGTGGAAATATTTTCCGGTGTTCTGAAAGAATCATCTACCGGTAATTTGTAGTTTTCTGAGTCAAAACTTTTTACTTGGAAATTTTTTATTTGAAATTGTGAAGAATTTAGTCGTAATCTATGAAGTTGTTTACGCTGAATAAAGTCAGAATTGAAGAAAGAATAATACACGGGAATATTTGAGATGTGGGACCAGTGGTTGAACATCATCTCCAACGCTACCCTAACCTTAGCCACTTGTCTCGGAAGGCTGGGTCCCATCTGTCTTATTTCGAAGTTCACGGTAAGATTCACTCGAGTGATGCCGGCCCACGTAGATTCCTACTCTACTTGTCCGCAAACAGTGAAAAGGGACGAGTAGGTAACAGACGGATAAATAATGGATTGCGGCATTTCTCAGAATATACGGGATATATTGTTATGGGGAATATTCCCACTGCCAAAACTTTTCCCAAGCTATTTATTTTCCTCAATTGAAGACACAATGCCGATGAATTTTTAATTCATCCCTCCCCTCCCAAAATAATTCCTGGAAATGACACGTTCTTACAAATTTTCTGTCATACTGAATTGAAAAATCATCTCGCTCTAACGTGACACTAGCCCTCATCTACCTGATTTACGAAACACCGAGGCACTTGCTAAATTACCCTCCCCCATAGAGGCTCCAAAATACCCTACAATTTTCCTCCAAAGTACCTGTATACCACTATGATTCATGAAAGCCGAAAGCCGTATGTACTTTTCCATTCTCCTAGATTGCATAATTAGATTGAATACCGCGATTAATATTATTCTGAACAAGATCCCGCCTCAACAAAAACCCTCGGCAAGGGGTATATAACCCATTATGGAAAATTATTTCCGGTAGTCATGGTGGTGAAACGTGACTGGTAAAATAGGTGTTTAAAGTGATAAACATTTGCCGTTGATTTATTATTTAAACACCCCACTGATATGCACAAATATCAATTTAGACAAATTGAATTGATATGAATACTGAATATCTGAATAATAATATTCGATCGTTTACGCAGGCTAACCTCAGAGGGGGTAATTGATATTATAAATGACACAATCATTTGAGTTGACTAAAACTCCACATTGATTTTAATTCCACCAGCAAAAAAAAAATCAGACACATTACTTCAGTTAAAACTCGAGAAACCAATAATCCCATCTCTGCAGATTGTGTTTCGTCCTGTTCGCCTCCGTTCCCTTCACTCACCAGTGTCTCCTATATACCCTCCACTTCACCATGAAATTATATTAAAAGCGACGCCCCTATCGCACCAACGCTAGTCTGATTGCGAAAGTTTCTAAGTGAATTAACCGCGGGCAATGATCCCTCCCGGCCCGAAAACCCAGAGAGAACAAGGCCCCTCCCAACGAGACTGAGTTTTCTCATCGAGAATCAACCCGAGGTACTGAGAGGGTTCGATAGAGACAATGCAATTTCCGCCGACATGCAACCGAATGACCGTCAATCTTATATTTTTTCACAACATGGAAAATTCACTTCTACCTCACAACTGAAAAAAATGCTACAGAAATTACGGAAAGCTCGGGGAAAAATAGCCAACGGAAAAAAAAACGCGATTTTTAGAGAATATTGCTGAGGGGCAGGTGACGAATTCTCGTACTCTTCGTC